AAACAAGGCCCCAACGCTAAGCGATCCATATCTCACGAATTAGCCGGAACTACCCCTGCCAGGGTCCTCGGACGACGCGCCGCATCTGTAGCATCTGGGAGCAAATTTTCTAGACCTCTTAGAAGCGCGCGTTGAAGACCGCATGCTTCTAGCATCGTCCACCTCGTCCTGGCCACCAAGCTCAGAGCTCGTTAGGGGCTAACTGATAGTGGGTCCTAGTCCTAGTGGGCGTAGCGAAGCAGTTTGCAAAATAGCTGCTGCCACGACTTTGCACACCACTATGCACACATGTCGTTCCTTACACATCTCAGTAAGGCCAGTCCTTCTTGGCTTTCGGAGGCATCGCTGGGTCAGGAGTCCGGTGGCTTGTTTTGGTCGGCGGCTCTGCGCACCCGCAAGCTAAGTACTAAGGGAGCCACGCAGCAAGCAAACAGCACGCTGTTCGCTTCTACTTGACCAACCAAAAAAGCCAAACAAAAGGCAACACTGCCAAACTCTGCCTGTGGCCTCCATTACTGGGTCCTTTTTGTTTCCTTTTTTTTCGGGTCCTGGACCAGACCTCCCTCTTGGGCTCACTTTCGCTTCTATTTTTCACGTAATGTGCAGCCTTTTTTGTTTGCATTTTTTTCGGGTGGCATTCTTAGCTTTGCCCGGTTTGCTCTCTTTTTTTTTGGATTCCCGCTGCTTATTTTTTCCTTTTATTTCCCACGTCTTTCCCACACGTGTGCCATTTTTAACGCAAAATTTGCTCATTTTGGGAATACCCAGCCAAAAGGCTGTATTCCTATTATTTTCCTATATTTTCCCTATTTTTTCTCTACTTTTTAGAAGAAAAGTAGGAAAATAATAGGAAAAAAGTAGGAAAAAAGTAGGGAAAAAGTCGGAAAATAAGGAAGCCTGAGGGTATTTTTAAGTTTTTTAAGAAACCCAAGTGTTTGCTCTTTTTTCTCATTTGTTCCTCTTTTTTTAAGAGAAAGATGGTCAATATTAGGAGAAAAAAAGGAGAACAATAGGATATTGGAAGGCGTTTGGGTGGTCCTAGCAAACCCAAAAACGCAAAGAAAAAAGGAAAATATGAGAAATAAAACCACAGGACAAGGACTTTCGATCCAGTTGCGAGGCCGAAAATACAGAAAAAATGCGACGGAGACAGGACACAGGCCCCAACAAAAAAGCGGAGAAAATGGGAACGAAATTGGGCTGTAGCAACGGAGTCAACAAAAAATGCAAAGAACATAGGATGCCAAATGGAACCCCCAAAAAAATTCAGCTGACGGCCCTAGGGCCATGGCTCAAATGGCAACTACTCACTGCTCATCCCTTCCACCCTCCCAGGCCCCAGGCCTCGGCACAAGAGAGCAAAGGCTCAGGCCAATCCGCTCAGTGCTATCAGCACAAGGGACACATTGTTTGTGAGCGCTGGCGGGTTTTGGGTGTGGGTTTCGAGTTTGGGTTTAAGGCAGCGGACCCGGCTTTAGGAGACTCTAGAGATTCTACAGCCTGAGACAGCGCACACTCTTGCATTTCTTGTCCATCAACCTTGAAAGCCTTCACTACTCACTACTCAGACGCTCTAGTCAATCAAGTGGCCCTTGCTTCCAACTTCTCCAGGGCCATAACACGCTCTGAGCTGTCCAGCGGGAGGAGCAGCTGCTCCATGTCCATTGGGGACTGCGTCCTCAAAACGCCCACGAAGTCCTGCGCAATCTCTGTCGAGTGTCAGGCCCGAAGCCCCAAAGTGCTAGCGCAGAAATTGTGTTTAGAGACTCACTCTGCATGCACCAGCAGAGACACACCCCGACCCCAATTACCAGGTAACAGTTTGCCAAGACTCATAACCCAACAAGAGAAATGAGGAATCTCTGGCGCTCTGACCTGATAGGTCTTGCGGAACTTCTTGGCGTCATTCTCTGAGTAGTAGGTCTTGTGAAGGAAAACGATATAAATCCTGCGAATCGCCAGGCGTGAAACCACATGAGATCTGGAACGAACACTATGCCTCACTATGCAACATGAAGCAGAAGGCAGTTCTGCAGAGGTCCAAAAACAAATCAAACCGCAATGCCCATGCCCAGCTGCCCTTTTTTCTTGCAAAGCTGCCCTGCTCACATCATCATTTGATGATTTCTGGCTCTGACCCCTCATCTTCATGCTTCTCCCTTTCAAACCTGGATATGTCTCTTGCACCGCTGCAGTGCTCGTAGAACCATCTTCTGGACGCATCCCGCTCAACTCTGTTGGTGCAAAGCGGCGAAATCGCAGCCTTGTGATTGGCACCCGTTGCATGCTGATGCCCACAGCGAAGCCATCCGACTAGCAAGCCAAGCGGTCTGCCTTGGTGTGGATTGGTTAAGGATCTCGAAGCCGGGTTGCTCGTGCGCGTCTTCTTGCACTCAGCCTCAGACGCAGCTGCGTGTGCTCTGTTGCGGCAAATCGCCACAAAGTTCTTCTGCTCACTGTTGTAGCGAATCTCACCCAGGCCATCAGGTAGCACCACAACAGTCGTGGGCCGCGGGGCTCTGCGTGGCCTACCCTCACCAGCGGCATCGTCTTCCTCGTCTTCCTCAGCAAGTGACACGACCGATTGGGTTCGAATAGAACACGGCAGAAGCCAAGTACACTGGGAGGGTGTGGAGATGTGACGTTCTGGCAATCTTCAGGTTTGACAGTCTAGAGTCAATCGCATCAATTTTCTGGCTTGGGCTCACACGACTTGCGTTTGGAGTTGGTGAGCTGAGTTCGAGCATCGGGTTGCGAGCCTGGTGTCTGTGTCAGGGACTCCAGGAACTTCCGCCAGCGGGGGGTCATCAACCGCAGAAGAGCCTCTGGCCGCCTGGGGGTAAAAGCAACCAATTTGCAAGAATGGATGATTAGGATTAGGACGATATGTAGAACGACCGTTCCCAAACTCGAACATGCTGCGTTGGTTGTTTGCGAGTTGTTTCAAACTCGTTCTGCCTCTACGTGCGGGGCTGCTCCACTCCTGGGCACAAAAGGCGAAGGCGCAGAAGAACTTGAAGATGGCAGCTCCTGAATGCAACTTGCGTTTTCAGTCATTTCAGGGATTGCAAGGGAACGCCGCCTAGCAGAGCTGGGCCCACGAACCCTCTTGACTCAAGGCCTGGCGCTTCTGCGTTTTTTTTCGGAATGTAGGATATGTTTAGTAAAAGCTTGCCAGAAAGGATCAGACCGCTGCACCTTCACACAAGCCACCATTGATTCATGCAAGGTGTTCAGAACACATTCCTGAAGAGGGCCTGGGGCCGAGCGCCTATGGGAGCCTGGATGGAGAAAAGGAGCTACAAGTTAACACCTCTACGTAGCAGTCCAATTTCACAGCTGGGCAGCGCACTTATGTCATAGCAGTTTAAGGCATCTAATTGGGTGTTCTAGATGCTAGGCCGCTAGGCTCCACCTAGATTCCAGATTCCAGACTCTGGATTCTAGATTCTAGACTCATGTTCAATGCGCGGAACACAGTCCTGGTCTGCTGGACCAGCAGCGTCGGCAACATCTGCGTTGGCACCCTCGCCGTCGGGATGTAGGAAGCCGTCAAGCCCCTCAAGCTGTTCCGCCAACTCCTTGTGGAATAAGTCGGAGAATTCTTGCCCGCTCCCTGCCTCAGACTCAATCTCCAAGTTGCACTTCAAGATATCTTCTTCAGCCGCGGCCCTGTCTGCTTGGTCCTCTGCGTCGAACTCTTGCCCTGCAAAGGGCTGTGGCTCAACGGCCTCAACATCAGACTCAGGATCAACGTTGCCGGCGTCTTCCAGAGAAAGCGCTGCATCTGCCCTGTGAGCAGCTGCGAAGGCATGCGACAATCTTTCCCTGGCATGCTTGGAAGTGGCAGAGGAAGGCTTGGAAGTTGACTGCGCCTTCCTCTTGCGGTTCCGCTCTTTGGCCATCTCTTGCTCCTTGCGTATGTCTTCTTCCACTTCCCACCCTTTCCAGAAGCAAGCGCTGGAGATGCTGGGAAGTGGACGAACAAGAACCCAATTGGGCACCATCTCCTGCAAAGTGAGGACACGATCGTCACTGACAATGTTGTAGACGGTTACGTTCCAGCTCACAGAGAAATCCATACACTCCAGGAAACATGATAAAGCATCACAGGCCCTGTACGGCTGCTTCACCACAAGGCGCAAAAGACCGTCAGCCCTGGGCTCCGGGTCTTCTTCAAGCACAAGGACGGCCATGCTCCAAGTAGTGAAGTTCAAGTGCCCCAGGTGAATCCACACCGTCGGCAGCTCATCTGGCTGGGCTGTGGTTCCTAAGGACCGCAAAGCCATGTTCGTCCAGGCAGGGCTGAGAAACTGAAATGGCGCTTCCGACCCTGTCGCAAAACGCACCTCAGGCTTGTGCTCCAGCCGCAAGACGATGAACCCTTCCTGCAAAAGCCTGCGATGGGTTGCCAAAGCTGTTTGTCGATCCTTCTCAAGTTGGGACATCGGGGCTGGAGCAGCAGTGTTCTTCTTCCTTTTCCTCCTTGGCGTGAATTGCGGACGTAGCAGCTCGACCAACCGTCGATGACACCGGAGAGCTTTCAAACCAAGTCCTTCACAAACACAGATGCCAAGGCGAGCGCAAACCGTACCAGTTTTCTCATCCCCCTGGATTGTTGTCTGCTCGTCATGCACGCAAAGTTCGTGCATGCGTTCCCATTCTGTTACCAAATTGGCCCTGAAGTCGCTGCGCTGGCCTCTGCTCAAGAGCACCTGCCCAAAGTTTGCTTTTCGTGGTTTGCGCGGTTGCTTAGAGGTGAAAAAAGACATATAGGTTATAGAGGAGCACCGCACCAACAAGCACTGTAACAGTAGCACTCAACAGACAGAAATGACAATTAAGCAGGTTGGGAGATACGCTAGAAACTGCTAAAGTTACGAAGATACTCCTCTACGTCAACAAACTAAGGCGGCTACGGCTATGGCTATGGGAGCGGCTACGGCGCCTCTGAGGACTGGTACGACTTCAGCGGCTCAGCTACGCAGCTACGGTAGGGGTTAGGAAAGAAACCCAGAAACTACTGTTACAGGCGCCTCTGCAAAATCATCTGCTGGCACGTGCACGCGCCCACCATGTACGCCCACCAGAGCCGGACCATACGAAGACATCATACAAGGACAATCTGCCAAACATTGCTGAAGATGTGTTTCATCCTCCTTGTGTTCCCGCAAAGTCTTGACAACCTCGCTCTGCCACTTCTTCAGCGCCGCATCATGCTCAGTTTGCTGGGACTTCACAAGACTCATGCCAGAGTCGAACTCAGCGGCAAGGCCACCCATCTCTGCAGGTACCAAACTGCTGGAACTGCGGCTTTTTGCAAAATAGGCCTGCGGATCCACAGGCTGTCCATATGGCTTGGGCAAGTTCCGCTCATACGCAAGCTTCGCCAGCTTGGCTCTCTCCACATACTGCGCCCGTGTCTCCTTGTCCAAATTTCGAAACCGCTCACCCAAACTTGCCATGTCCACATCTGCTGAAGCGATCTTGCCCTTGCACTCGTCGCTGAGAAACCCATGCCATGGGTTCGCCCTGTGCTTCTTCGGTTTGTCCTCCTCTGGCTCAGCAGTTCCCGACTTGCGGCCCCTCTTTGGCTCTGCTTCCATGAAGACTTCGCGGCGAGCGTTGCTGTTGGATCTGCAGATCCAGTCCGCGCTCACACACGCCAGCTGTGGCCTCTTTGCCTGCACGGATTTCACAGCGCTGATCCTCCGCGTTGAAGCGTGCCGGCTTTCTAAATCTGAGATATCGAGAGAGAATCGCGCCGCAAGAACTCGCAAAACCACTTGGAAGTCCTCTGTTTCCATGGCGGCAGAATCCGGGAACTTCTCCCGGATTTGCTTTGCAAGAGGACACAACAAGCACGGCTTCGCATTGAACAGCTTGTCGTCTCCGTCCAAAGCAGCAAACAATTGCACAGGATAGGCTCGCCAGGCACTGTGGAGGTAAAACTCGCAAGCGCACGCAGCAGCGGAAAGCATGCGCACAGCCAGAACCTGATGCTGAAGCGTGTGCTTCTTTTGTGAGATGCCGAGGATCTCTGTTTCGAAAGCAGAGTTGAGCTCCTGCCTGAAGGTTTTCAAGTCGGTCATTCTGCACGCTTCAAGGACAACATATGTCCTGCCTTGTTGCGTGGCTTGCTTGAACTTTTCATTGTCCTCCCAAGCTTTCGACCCCTTTGCAAGCAAACGGTGCACCAAATTCAGCAACGGCTTCATGACCATGGCCATGATGAGGAGGACTGCGCCAGGGTCCGTCTTCACCCACATCCGAAACTTTTGCTTCATCTTGACGTGGAATTCTTTCCAGTCAATGTTGCCAGTGACAACATCCATTTCTTTTTCATCTTCCATCCTGAAACGCAGCTTCTGAAGAAGGATCCGCGCTGGCGTCCGGCCCACTCTCTTGACGTCCATCTCGAAGCGGGGGCGCATCATCAGCACTTCTTTCCTGCGCGATTGTGGCTGGCAGGTCTTGAGAAAAGTAGTGCGCAATGGTCGGCAGCAAGAGCCCATGGCACGTTGCCAGCAACCCAAAGTATTCGTAGGATTGCTGAAAGCCAGTCCACTTCGAACGAAAGAACATAGGTGGCTTTGCTGGCAGGAGAGCCGGCACAAGAAACTTGCGCATCAGGCGCAAAACATGTTGGCGCTCCACTTGCCAGTGATGCGTCCAAAAAGTGACATGGGTAGTGTCCTGGATGTCATCATTGCAAAAGAACGAAACGATCCATCGCTGCATGAAAACTCGCTTCTTGGCTTTGGACTTCATGATGTCCTGCACAGTGCCCTTCGGAACTGGGAGAAAAGCATCCAGCACCGCATTTCTGAAACTCACGGTATACCCATCTTGCGGGGGAGTCCCATACAGAACCCTCACTTTGTCTTCGAGCACTGCTTCCAGGGATTGCCTCAGTAAGCGCAGACATCCGCTCTCGCCAAACGCAAGCGCGCCCGAAATCAGCGCGCTCACGTGCCCACTGACAAACTTCAAGGTTTTGCTTTGTATAAGGGCAGCCTTGTGAATATCGCACGTGTAGTGAGATATGCACCCATGACTCATCTCACTCTGCATTGACTTCTCTGCTTTTATATTCGCTGAATACTTGTCTGTGCAGACTTGATGAATGTACAAGCCAAAGGCTCTGCTCGACTCAGTCAGGCTTGGCACCAAGCCCAAATGAGCTTGCTGGACTTGTTTGGTAGTCTCAGCAGTTGTGCGGTCAAGAGCTTTCAGCCATGAAGGCAACATAAACTCCATGAAGCAATACTCGCCAGACTGTCGGTGCTTCACCAGCAGTGATATCTGAAGCCGTGATTGCATGACCTTGGCAGTAGAGTTGAACTCCTTTTGCACATTCGAGCCTTTGTCCTTGTCCTGAAAAGCAACCGAAATCTTTGACGGTGTTTCGTCGTACTTGCGCGTGACGCATAGAAGCAGCGCCTGGTACGGAGAGTCATAATTTCTGCCCATTGACGCAATCCTCAGAAGCACTGCACCAATCAACCAGCCTGTGAGAAGCACCACGAAACACGCTGCTTGCTGTAGGCCGTTGTGGACCTGATAGCGTGAGCACTCCAGCATCTCCGCCTCACCCAGCTCATTCAAAACAGCACGTTTCTGCTTCAAGAACCGGTTGACCATAGCCTTTGTGCTGCTGCAAACATCTTCTGCAGCCCTTCTGCAGGCCATAGCAGTTTCTACCAGCCGCTGCTGCAAGTTTGAACCCAGAGCAAACCTGGGAAGCTGCATCCATGACATTGGGCCGACTGCCTCACCTTTGGCATCTGACAGCTGGTCTGTGCTGCTAGAACGAGCGACCTTTGCCTCCCGGGCACGCTCTATCGTGTGGGGTTCATCAGCCGAGTCATCCTCTCCATCTTCCCTCAACGAACGCAAGAGCTGCCGGAACTCCCTTCTTCCACAAGGCCGCCCAGCCATGCGCTGAAAGCAAAATGTAAAATTGCTATATGATGCGAAAACAGCTTCTAAGAAGATAACCACAATCCAAACTGGAAGTGAAAGCCAATGTAAGCCATTTCCCACAGAAAAGAGGCCTCAAAAGTCTAATCATCTAATCTAATCAATTGTTCTTGCTGGGACTGGAACCTTGATAGGCTAGAAGTCTATTGGGTCTATTTGTCTGGTTCAGGAATTTGCTTGAGTCTCCTCTACTCTGCTAGTCCCACTCCAGCCATAAGCCTTCAGCATGTCATGTGGCTCACACTGACCAGCAGTTTGCGACTGACTTGCGAAATTAAAACACAAGCTGACAAGCACAACAGTCCTGTCCCTGTGGAGCTTCACCCAATCCGAATAGCTGGCCTTCAAGACAATGATCCAATAGCCTGGGGCCTGCTGCTCCTTGATGCCCACGTTGACGTCATATAGGAACCTGGGCCACGTGCAAGTACAGGTCTGAAACTTTGGAGATGTCTGTATGCGTAATATCAATTAAAACTTGTTGCCCTTGGACCTTCTGCTTCAAAGTTTAGGACTGCAGGAACCTGTCGTATGTCCATACCATATGCGAGGTTACGTAACGGTTACGCTTACAACTTACAACACACGCGGAGCTCCAGTCAGACCATTCACAGCACATTGTGACATTGACTGACAGCGTGACCAAATCACTGAAACAACACGCTTACGCTGATCACATGAGGCCCTGGCGTCTGCATTGGGGTAGGCTCCAGCTGGGAGGCATCACTGCACACCGGCTTGTTAAATCCCTCCACTTGCTCCATGACTATGCACCGGTGGTTGCCTTTCACCACCATATTCTTTGCGTCGCGGAAGGTAATTTGTGATAGGGGGTGCCTCGCTATGGACCCGCTGCGGTATCGCTTGACCCCTGCGTCGCTGAACGCGTTGCACGGCGTCCCGAACACACAGAGATCGCACGCCTGGAGCTTGCACTCACTTGCATGTTGGTGGTGCAAGCACGGGAGTTCAAGTGTCTGATCCAAGAACGTCCCATGAAGGTGGGTCACCTCCACATTGCGCTCTTGGAGGCTCACGGGCCCCTATCATCCCAATTGTAAGCCCACATACAACCTACTTCGGGGACCTCGGGGGCTTTCAAGCTTATAAGTACAGTTCTACTTTTTTTTTAAGTGGGGCTGCAAGTACCCATGAACCTCCAAGCACCAGCCACTGCCCTCCTACCCACTCAAGACGACACAGCTTCACTGACTCTAACAGACTCAGACTCTAACTCGCCTGCAGAACAGAAGCTTCAGCGAAGCTTGCTGTGCATGCTGACATCAAGGTGATCGGGCTGCGACGCTTCTTGCCCCCAGGCTTGATGTGGCGGAGCAAAAGTTTCAGCTGGAAGACATACCACTCCTGAGGTTAAGGCTTCAGGGTCCAAACGAAATTCTGCCGACCCGTTGCAAGCATGTGACACTGTCTTTCTAGAGTCGAGATAGAGTCTAGGACCCTAGGAGTCTAGAGTCGATAGACTAAATAGAATGTACAATCTAGAATCTAGAAGCTCGAGGCTTGGTGGGCTGTGTATGTCCTTCGCGGTCGGCCCATCTGCAGCTAAGGAAGACAAACACGCATTACGACTGACACTAGGGATCTAGACCGTGGAACAAGAACGAAGACAACGTGACGTTCAAAGCAAGCAGCAGAGAAGATAGTTCAGTGAAGGGACTCTAATCACGAATCCCTCATGCTTCCGGGGGGGGGGCGGGGGTCCCAGGGCGGGAGCGTGCTTCCAAGCTGTCCGAGGGCAGTGAAGCACCTCTAATCCCTCATGCTTGGGGGGGGTAGAGCGCTTCTCGGGTGCCAGGTGGTGCGGGCTGATGAAAGGCCTCTAATCCTTCCTGCTTCCGGGGTGTGCGGAGGTGGGAGGGCTCGAGAGGGCAGTGAAGGGCCTCTAGTCCCTTGCTTGCGGGGTTCGCGCTGGAACCTGAAAGGCCTGAAAGGGCAGTGAAGGGCCTCTAATCCCTTGTGCTCGGTTAAGAGGGCCTGAAAGGGCAGTTTTTTCTCGTGCTTCCGGGGCTCCCGAATAAGCAGTGGGGGCTCTAATCCCTCGTGCTTGCGGGGTTGAGGGTCTGTGAGGGCAGTGAAGGGCCTCTAATCCCTTGTGCTTCCGGAAAATGCAGGGTCTCTAATCTTTCGTGCTTCTGGGGAGTGAAGGGCCTCTAATCCCTCGTGCGTCCGGCGGTTCCAGGATGGGCCTGAGAGGGCAGTGAAGGGCCTCTCTAATCCCTCGAGCTTCCGGGGCGTCCAGGGGCAGTGAAGGGCCTCTATTTTGGGGGGTGGGTCCCAAGAAAGCAGTGAAGGGCCTCTGATCCCTCTACTTGTCTTTATTTCACTTCCGGTATATGGGGTGCTTTTCTGCTTCCGGCTGAGTTTGGGACGTAGGCTGGCTGAGGCTTCTTCAGGCTTATGAGACAAGGTTCGTCTGAAGTCTGCGCAGACAATGGGACACTTCCAACTGAGCCACTCTCAGCGCTAGACTCTGATGGGTCACGAACTTGCTCAGCTTCTCGCACGGCAGCGCACTCCAGTTCGATTTGCAAAGCACACAAGCTGGCTTGCGTTAACGCAGTCTGGCTCTTCCCTGAGAACCCTTGCCCGTGCAACTTGGACAGCATGTTCTTGAAAAAAACTCCCAAGCTCTGCGCCGCCACACAGAAGCAGCAGCTCAGAAACGCAAAAAAAACAGATTCGTATCGCTGTGTGGCAGCACAGTCACAGTCACAGTCCTCACGGCTGAGGTCACAGCTTCGGGACCCCCGCCCACCCACTCCCTGCTTGGCCCAACATTGCGGCGGAGGACACACACCTCTGCCAGCTAATTATTCTAGCAAGCTAGCTGAGTCTAGCACAGAAGCTTTGCCAATGAAGCGAAAAAAACGCAAACCTATTCTTGTCTCTTGAAATGCAACCCAGTCTAGCAGTCTAGTCTAGCCTACCTGTATCCGAACCCATCCAAAACGGAAGCAGCCTGGCCCCCCGAAGCGAGAACGCCCAGGACATATCCCCTGACCACCGGCCCTGCTAGCTGCCCTGCTGCCTGTTTGGGTTTGGGGCTTCAGGGCGCGGGGTTTGGCATCAGTACGCTTTGAAAAAAAAAAAGGCGCAGGGGTTTGAAGATTCTGGGCTCAGGGCTTGGGGTTTAAAATGCTGGGGTGACCTTCGCTGGTTTTTGTCTTGTCCTGGTGTCCTAGCAGCCCCAGGAGTCCTTTAGGAGCTCTCCCCACGGTGCCTTCCAGTTGCGGTCTCAAAGCCCCATCTGGTTGCTTGCATCGATGGCTCTATCTGAATGTATCTGTTGTCCTATATCCTGTGGTCCATGGGTGGCGTCACTGCGCACATTGCTATAAGGTTAAAGCTCTCTGTTGCTTCCTGGCTTTTATCTTGAATCCTCTCTTGGGTTCCATTGATTGCGACAAATTGAAAGCCCCATGGCCAATTCAAAGGATCACATCTATGTGTTCCTTCATTGTGTTCCTGTTGAGTTGCTTGTTTGTACTCTAGATGCTATGGTGTTTCTGCTTTATTGCATGGTTTCTTGTTTTCAGCATCTACCCCATGTTCCTGGCTTTATTCGTTGCTTCTGCTTTATGTCTGTCTCTGTGGTTCTTATATGTTCCTAGGCTTCCCTTTTTTCTTCATTTTATGACCCATTTGATCCTCACTTTTTGGCCATTTTTTCCCTAATTGGAATGCCATTGTTTTCCTACTTTTTTCGGAAAAAAGAAGACTTCGACTTTTCGATCGATTTATGCGTTCCTAATGTTTTTGCATGTTTTTTTCACTTTCATTCCTATGGTTTTTGGATTGTTTTCCCAAAATTAATTAGTTTAGGCCGTCCCCAACGGAAGCCTCTAACCGCATCATAACACTACCCTCCCCCTCCCAACAAAAGAAAATACACATTGTGGAGTAGGGTCGTTGGTCAAAAAAACCCAATGATCAGGACAGCCTTCGTACCAAGTAGTCCCTAACCGTAAACCCTAAACCCTAAACCCTAAACTGCAACCCCTAAACCCCTGCAAACCCTAACCTTTCAGGCCTGGCAAACGCCGGGCCCAGGTTTTTCCGCGAGCTTTCAGAGGGGCCTGCAGTGCACCGGGGAGGAGCGGGGCGGGGGTTTGAAACCTTGGGGTTGGTTTAGGTTTAGGGTGTTAGGTTTGAGGACTTCGAAGGATGAGAGCTGAAGGCCTCTAGGGCTCGGACTGCAGTCCTGGGTTCGATCGGGCAAGATTTGAGCGAGAACAACCGCTCCAGCCGTCCCGCAAGGTGCTTGGTTCATTGGCGGACCTGAGGCCGTATAGTGCCTTTTTGAGGCGGAGGTACAGCTTTTCACCTCCCAAACCCCGACATCCCTCAGGCATGCTGACGATGACATCCTCCCCTTCAAGCCTGGCGAAGAGGAAAGCAGTGGACACATCGAGTCCCAGCATGTTATGCCCCTTTGCCCCTGCCATTGCAAGGAACACTCGCAATCTTTCCGCGGACGCAGTACCCTTTTCGGTTTAAGGGGGGTATTAAGGGAAACCCAACCCCAAAAAAAGGAAATAAGGGCCAAGGGCCTGCTCTGGGTCCTAGTGGTGCAGGGTTTACGGTCCAGGCTTGGCATGTCGAAGCCTATTCCGCCTGACAGTCCTCAACTTCTGGTCTAGCTTTGGGGTGCTTGCTGCGGGGTATGGGGTTCGGGTTTAGGGGTTTAGGGTTTAAGCTTAAACTCTTAAACCCAAAACCCCAAAACCCCAAAACCCCAAAACCCCAAAACCCCAAAACCCCAAAACCCCAAACCCCCAAAACCCCAAAACCCTTAAACCCAAAACCCTGAACCGCTAAGCCCTGTGAGCTTGCAAAATCTTGAGGATGGGAGTTCAGGCGGGGCAGCATGTAAACGGCTTCTATTCGGGGGACATAAAGGAACCAGGGCTTCTGCACAGACGTTAATTATAGGGTTTTACCCCGAAACTGCCCAAAACCCTGCTCCCTAAACCCCTGAACCCCTAAGCCCCAAACCCTAAACTAAGCCTCGAAAACCTCTGTACCCGGTGCCCCAAGCTGCTAACTCCTGAATTACAGGCATCGGGCTCGCTGGGCTACCCTAAACCCTAAACCCTAAGCCCTAAGCCCTAAGCCCTAAGCCCTAAGCCCTAAGCCCTAAGCCCTAAGCCCTAAGCCCTAAGCCCTAAGCCTAAGCCCTAAGCCTCTGCAACCCTAAATCCGGAAAAGCCTCTAAACCTTCTGCTGCTCTGATTCCTTGTCTGGCAACTTCTCTTTTGTTGAATCCTTGCACACCTTGACAACGTCCGGCTATCTGCGTCTTCCTATTTTTACTTCTCCTACTTCGCAGCCTCGACATAAACGCAACTCTGGTTCAACTACAAAACTTTCGCTACCCAAGGACTCAAAACGCAGAAGCGCTGTACATGCCAAGAGAAAAGATCCCAGGAACAACCCTAAACCCTAACTCTGGCCCTAACTCCTAAACCATAAACACACCCTAAACCCCTACAACCTCCCTACAAGCACATAGCCGCGGAACCCCATCTCTCCCATTTGACCCCCTACATCCCCTGTAAAGCTTGGAAAAGCCCCTGAGCCACACTAAACCCCTAAACATGAGAAAAACAAAACCCTATAAACACCTAAATCCTAGAAGCTAATCTCTAAACCCTAAACCCAACCCCTGAACCCTAAACAACGAACCACTACACCCCTAAACCCTAAACCCTAAACCCGAAACCCTAAACCCTAAACCCTAAACCTCCGCCCAGCCTGCCATCGCAGTGAGGACGGAGCCTTGGAGCACCGGACCAAGCGCCGCGTCGCCTCGTGCGGGTACTTGGAGGTTCATGGAACTCTCTAAGCCAGTTATAACAGGGTTTTGGGTTGAGGGTTGAGGGTTTTGGGTTGAGGGTTTAGGGTGTAGGTTTTCGCTGTACTTATAACCCAGTTCTAACCATGTTAGGGCGCTTAATGGGCTTATAAGTGGGCTATAAGTGCAGTTGCGAATGGGTTATAAGTACCATGCAAGAGATTTGGGGTTTTGGGGGGTTTTGGGGGTTTGGGGGTTTTAGGGTTTGTAGGGAAGCGGGGGGTGTGGGGTTATGGGGTTTTGGGGGCTCAGGGGTTTTGGGGGTTCGGGGGGTTTAGGGTTTAGGGGTTTAGGACTTTAGGGTTTATGGGTTTTGTTCGGGGTTTATTGTGGCGTTCGCGGGGTTGAAAAGTCGCGGGCTTGAGGGGTACATTCTTCACGTGTTAATGGGACTACGTCGGCTTGAAATGTCAAAGTTCTAGGGGCTATAGGGTTTAGGGTTTAAGGGTTAAGGATTTAGGGTTTAAGGGTTCAGGGGCTGTAGGGTTTAGGGTTGTGTAAATGGCTGGGGATCCATGGTGCAAAGGCTTGGCCAGCTTAGCCGGTCAGCCGAAACACACAAAGCTAAGACAAGCAACTGCTTCAGGAGATTGCAGTTTAGCTCCCGAGGGTAATTAAAGGGTACAGGGATTCAAAAGCCCAAAGTCCGACGTAAGTTGGAACGGTTTAAAACGTCTAATTAGGGTTCAGGGTTTTGGGGTTTAGGGTGCTCTGATGGCTCTCATGGCAACCACAGGCAGGACACCCTTTCGGTTGTGCCCTAAAGTTTGACCCGACCCCATTTCCATTTGAGGCATTGTTTAGGGTCTTGCTTACACCCTAAACCCCAAACCCTAACCCCTAAACCCTGAACCCTGATCCCTAAACCCTAAACCCTAAACCCTAAACCCTAAACCCTTAACCCAACTTGGGAGTCGCCGGGCGCTTTTTCTTCAGCTCTGATACCGCCTGTCGTCTATGAGGCGCCCTCACCTTGCGCAGCCAGCTCTTGCCAAATGTCGTCATCAATGCCCGACGCTGTAATCCTTAGGGTTTAGGGTTTAGGGTTTAGGGTTTCGGGTTTTAGGGTTTAGGGTTTAGGGTTTTCTTGGTAGCCCAGCAATTAACAACGACAGTAAGGGAACCCTTCCTTGGGGCTGGTTACTTGAGAAGGGAACCTTGGACCAAGAAGGGAGAAAAGGGTACCACTGGGCCACCAAGGTGTTTAGGGTATAGGGTTTAGGGTTTGGGGTTTAGGGTTTAGGGTTTAGGGCTTTGCGTGTTGGATGAATCTGTCCTCTACTTGTTCTCTCGGGACTTGGGTCTTTTTGGGTTTAGGGGCTTTGGGCTTGAGGGTGTGGGATTTAGGGCTCACATCACCAGCTGCAAGCCGATCAAAAGGAAACCCCAATCCCTAAACCCTTTTCCCAACCCAAGAAAAGCAGCCTAAACCTACACCTACAACCCTCAAGGCACCCTGAACACAAAAAGCCTCAGGCCACAATCGCCCTCTAAGCTCAAGCCCTAATGCCGAAACTGAACCTGAAGCCTATTCTCAACTGTTCTTGGTCCGACTTTTTTCGCCCTCAGGACCCATGTACCCATATAGTATACACTTGGGCCTTAAAGGGGTTCCTATATAGTCGCTTCAGGGCTCAGGTATATACTACGTACATGGTATATGCTTGGGCCTGAAAAAGGGATTCCTACATAGCAGCTCTAGGGCCTAAGTATATACCATGGATCGGGTGGGATGCCTGGTCGCTTCAGCCAAGTAAGGCTGAACTCCAAGTCTAGGGAGGTAGGGTTTAGGGTTTAGGGTTTAGGGTTTAGGGTTTAGGGTTTAGGGTTTGGGGTTTAGGGTTTAGGGTTTAGGGTTTAGGGTTTAGGGCTTAGGGCTCAGGGCTTAGGGTATAGGGTTTAGGGTTTAAGGCTTAGGGTCTAGGGCTTCGGGTTTAGGATTCAGTCAAAGTCTGAACCCTCAATCCTACGCCCGGAGATATCCTTGAACCCTCGCAGTCCTACATCCCTAACCCCTGCTTGGAAGCGCCTTTGACTTAATCAGGTGAGTTGTGGGGCTTATAAGAAGGTTTCTAGGGCATACTAAGTAGACCTACTAGGTCAAAAGCGCTTCCAAGTGTGGGTCGTTCTCCAAGTTGGGATCCCCTATATAGTACGGCACGCTGAAAATAAGGGCCGCCAAACGGACCCGAATGTAGAGAACTCCCTATGCACCCCCCTGAACCTAAACCCCAAACCCCAAACCCCAAACCCTAAACCCTGAACCCTAAACCCTAAGCCCTAAGCCCTAAGCCCTACGCCCTAAGCCCTAAGCCCTAAGCCCTAAGCCCTAGGCCCGAAGCCCCAAACCCTAAACCCTAAACCCTAAACCCTAAACCCTAAACCCTAAACCCTAAACCCTAAACCCTAAACCCTAAACCCTAAACCCTAAACCCTAAACCCTACCTTCGTGTGCAGCCCAGGGTCTTCTTACCCTCGAACCACCGCCCGTTGAGCGCCAACTCACCCGCGAGCCGCTGCTGGGGTGACTCCTTGGCTGGGGTGGGTTTAGGGTTTAGGGTTTAGGGTTCAGGGTTTAGGGCTTAGGGTTTAGGGTTTAGGGTTTAGGGTTTAGGGTTTACGGTTTAGGGTTTAGGGTTTAGGGTTTAGGGTTTAGGGTTTGGGGCCCAGGGTTTAGGGTTTAGGGTTTAGGGTTTAGGGCTTGGGGCTTAGGGTTTAGGTCCCTTAACTAGAGTTATAGGACTTGAGGGTTTAGGCTTTGTGGTTTAGCTGCTAGGGTTTTACGGTTGTTGCCTACATTGCCAAGCCCTAAACCCTTATATATATATATATATGTGTGTGTATATATATATATGTATCCAAGGAGGGGCCCCGGAAGTTATAAGTAGAGTTATAGGGGCCCTGTATCGGTCCTAACTTAGGTTGTAGGTCCCTTAACGCAAGTTAGTATAGGGCTTGGACTCAAGGGTTCAGGTTTTGTGGCTTAGTTGTTGGGGTGTACGGGTTTTTGCCTGAACCCTAAACCTTAGTGTTTGTGTGTATATATGTATATATGTATATATGTATATATGTATATATGTATATATGTATATATGTATATATGTATATATGTATATATGTATATATGTATATGTATATATATATATAGAGAGAGAGAGAGGCTTTAGGGTTATCAAAGCAAGCCCCCGTGTCTACCCATTGCATACCCAATTACAGCCTACAGGGTTCCTTTCCCCCCCCCCCCCCCCGTTGTACTGTTAGCCTCAAACGAGTTTCGGGTTTCGGCCTTTACCCCCAAAGCCCCAAGCCCTAAATCCTAAACCCGGCCCTAAACCCTAAACCCTAAACCCTGAATCCTGAACCCTCAACCCTGAACCCTGCACGCCGTCCAAGCGCGTAGAGGATGTAGATGAGCCCAGCATTGCCGCGCGGATCCACCGTGACATGGCTCACCTACCGAGGTAGCGCTCAACTGGCAAAGGGCTTCAGGGTTCAGGGTTTAGGGTGTAGGGTTTGGGTGGAGATGGCCCTCGACTCATAACTTGGTAGCCCAGTAAACCATATTATAATAAGGGTACCTTTTGGGGCTCGCTACTTTTCTAAGGGAACCCAAAATCCCAAAAAGGGCAAAAGGTTACCACTCAGCTACCAAAATAAAGGGTTTCAGGGTTTGGGTTTGAGGGAGAGGGGCCGGAATCTAAGCTTTCTCCACACTCACCTGGAACTCGAGACAGCAGACTGATCCTCACAATTCCCTGAGCCTGGACGCCCCTAGAATTCATTCCCGAACGAGGGTTTAGGGTTTAGGGTTTGGGGTTTAGGGTTTAGGTTTCAGCCCTCTGTTTGTGGCACAGGTTTTCGCTCCAGTTTCTGCACCTTCCCAAACTTGGCGCACTCGTCGTGTGTGTCTTCGCGGATGGCGTCGTAGAAGCGCGGGTCCTTCGCAGGTCTTGCGCAGGTTTCGTGTGAAGGGCTTGACGGCGAAAGGCTAGGAGAGCAGTTCACCTAGACCCTATGCCCTAGACCCTCCACCCTGGACCTGAAGGTTAGCCACATGGGTCCCTTGAGATGGGTCCTTAAAAGGATGCCATTCTGACCCCCCTTGTCTACCCCACAAATCCCGGGACCAGAATATGAAGGGACCATGTAACTACCCTTAGATTGGGGTAAGGGAACACACTAAGGTTCCAGCTAAACCCTAAACCCAGAACCCCAAACTTTAAACCCTAAACCCTAAACCCTGAACCCTAAACCCTAAACTTTAAACCCCAACCCATAAACCCTAACCCTAAAATCGAACCAACCTTCGACTTAGACTAGGGAGGAGCTTTCTGGAGTTTAGGGCTTCGGGAGCTTGCGGAGCTGCGGAGTTGAGAAAGCTGGGCTTAGGGTTTAGGGCTAAACCCTAAACCCTAAACCCTAAACCCTAAACCCTAAACCCTAAACCCTAAACCCTAAACCCTGTTCCATAAGGGCATCCTTCTGTTTGGACCCCCTTTTCATAGGGAAATCGTAAAGCCTATTACCATAAACGCGAAAACCTTAAACACTGAAAGCCTTAAAAGCCGAAATAGCCCTGTAGCCCCTAAACACAGCATTGTATCACAAGCATCTGAAAGGTGGCGCAGGCCCAAGGCCTAGGCCTTAACCCAAAAAAACCTAAACCCTACCCTAAACAGGGGGTTTAGGGTTAGGGTCACACCAACCCAAGGGGACAAAATTCCTAAACACTCGGTCTGCATCCCCTACTCTGAAGAAATGTGCTCAAGAGGCTCTTCTGAAACTCAGAAAATGTAGAGGGTTTGGGGCAAAGTTTGGGGCTTAGGGCTTAGGGTGGTTAAGGGTTCAAACCCTAACCCTAAACCCTGAAGAGAAAATGCAAACTCTATCAAAGTCCTACCTGGTAAGCCGACAAGGGCGCCTTCTCCAGGTCCACGGAGGAGGGCGTGAACATATTCTGCAGCAGCCTTTGCTGACTTGATAAGGATCTTCACGCACGACATGAGGGGGGGGGGGAGGGCAGGTGGGGAGGGCAGGTGGGGGGGGGTGTTGCGGGACCCTAAACTTTGAACCCTGAACCCCAAACCTGGTAAACATCCTAGGCCCCTGGCCCTGAGTTCTAGCCAAAATACCTGAAGCGCTACAGCCAGAGACCCTTAAAGAAGCGAATGCCCTAAACCCCTAAAGCCCTAAAGCCCTAAAGCCCTAAACCCCTAAACCCCTATCCCTAAACCCTAAACCCTAAACCCGAAACCCTAAACCCCCCCCCCCCATAAACCCTCAAGCCTTACATTTTGAACCCACGCAAAAAGTGCAGAAGCTGCAGTCTTAGGCGCAGCTGGTCGATTTGTCTAAAGCCCAAACCCCAACCCTAAACCCCAAACCCCAACCTTTATAAACCCTAAACCCTAAACAACTCCAAACCAAACCCTAACCCCCCTCCCCCCCAAGCTGAGCAAAATCTGCAGTCTGAGGTGCAGGGTGCAGCTGGTCGACTTCGCGGGCTTCGGAACTGGAGGCCTGAGAGGGCTAGACAGGCGCTGAGGGTTTAGGTGTAGGGTTTAGGGTTGAGGGTTTAGGGTTTAGGGTTTAGGGCTTAGGGTTTAGGGTTCAGGGTTTAGGGTTTAGGGGTTTGGGGGTTTGGGATTGCGAAGTATAGGCCCTTGGGTGTTAGACGGTATATCAGGGATGTATAAGGCGTCCCCTTTTAAGGGCCTGTATTCAGGAACCACGTAACGACCCTAAGATGGTAAGAAGGTACCAAAGTAGGGTGGTAAGTATACTAAGAGGAACCCTATGTTTGGGTGGGGGGGGGGCGGCCTTCCTACTTTTGTTCTATGCCAGGCTCTAAAATAAAGCCTGTGCCCTAACCCCCAAAACCAGAACCGATCTTTTCCAGGGCTCTTGGGTTCACTGATGTAGACGAACCCTAAACCCTAAACCCTAAACCCTAAACCCTAAACCCTAAACCCCCCCCCCCCCCTCTTGCGGCCCAAGCGCATGGAGCTGACGTCCGTGATGGTGGTGGGCGGCTCGGAGTCGTTGCCGCTGGGCGCTGCCAGGCCGACGACGGTCGGCACTTTGGAGCCTGGTTTAGGGTTTAGGGCTAGGGTTTAGGGTTTAGGGTTTAGGGTTTAGGGTTTAGGGTTTAGGGTTTAGGGTTTAGGGTTTAGGGTTTAGGGTTTAGGGTTTAGGGTTTAGGGTTTAGGGGTTTAGGGTTTAGGGCTGGTAGGATGGAAGGCTTAGGGATTGCCGGGTGAAGGGGTGCAGGTGGGGAAACCCACAAAACCCACACCGCACTTACTGGGGACGCCCGGAAGCGATGACGTTTGGGGGGTTCAGATTTTAGGGCTTCAAATCCTGACTCTTTACACCCTTACACCCCTCCTAAGCCCTGAACCCTAAGCCCTAAACCCTAAGCCCTAAACCCTAAACCCTAAGCCCTAAACCCTAAACCCTAAGCCCTAAACCCTAAACCCTAAGCCCTAAATCCTGAGCCCTAAGCCCTAAAGGTTCGGACTGCTGGTCTCGACCGGCAAATTTGGGGCTGTAAGGGCCCAGGCCCACAACATGGCAAATGTGCCCCAGGGTTCAGGGTTTAGGGTTTAGGGTTTAGGGTTTAGGATTTAGGGTATAGGGTTTAGGTTTTAGGGTTTAGAGATTAGGATGTAGGGTTTAGGGCTTAGCTTGATGGCTCTACTAGGAAAGGGACCTTTTGAGTGCCGATTTTTTTTCATTGATCTAAACCCTCCCAAGGTGTCCACTGAATGAGGCCGAATTCAGAGATAAGCCTAGCTAAGAGGGCAGGGTTCAGGGTTTAGGGCTTAGGGCTTGGGGTTTAGACTTTAGGGTTTAGGTTTTAGTGTTTAGGGTTTCGGATTTAAGATCTAAGAAACCGAATACTTCTGTGGTCTTCAGCTATGCTGCACTAGAGGGCCTTCTCAAGACGTCGGATAGCTTGACACCAGCTCTGAACCCTAAGCCTGGGCTCTACACCCAGAACTTTACTTGGGGTTTAGGGTTTAGGGTTTAGGGTTTAGGGTTTAGGGTTCAAGGATTTAAGGGTTTAGGGTCTAGGGTTTTTAGGGTTCAGGGTATAAACCCCAAAAGCCTGAGTGGGACTGCATCAGCTTCTTCATGATGTCGATGCGGTCGTGCACGTTCGACGGCCCGGAGCCAGTTGCGCCAAAGTCGCTGTCCTCGGATCGCTGCGTTGGCTGAGCGAGGTCTTGTGGTCACAGGTCTATACCCAGAGCGCCCAATATCGCTTAAATGATACATGGGCCCCTTGTTATGATTTAAGGAATATTCCTTGAATCAGGGGTTCCGGGCTCTTTGGGTAGGGGTCTGGGGCCTAGGGGGGTTGATTTTGCTGCCCCCGCGGGGGGCTCGAGGACGGTGCGGTGTAGGGCTCTACAAGTGCCAAGAGTGCTTCCAGCTAGGAGAGGCTGAACCTAAGCCCAAAGCCTCATAAACCCTACAGACCCCTAAGACCTCAAGACCTTAACACCCTAACACCCTAACACCCTAAACCCTAAACCCTAAACCCTCGGCCGCCAGGACTCGTTCTTAATGTCCAAGGGCTTGGGCTTCGGCGGCTCCGGCGGCGTCTCGTTCTTTGCGCCGCCGACAGAGAGCATGGTGATCCTGGGTTTAGGGTTTAGGGTTTAGGGTTTAGGGTGCAGGGTTTAGGGCTAGGGTTTAGGGTTTAGGGTTTAGGGTTTAGGGTTTAGGGTTTAGGGAAATTAGGTACCACCTATGAACAAGGTTTGCGAGATTCGGTGCACCCTATCCTTAAGCCACAAAGCGTGGGATGTTCCCCTTATACAAACAGTCCTTAATCGGGATTATAGTAGGGGGTACTATATCTTGGAGGCTCAGGGTAGTTAGGAAAAACAATAGCTGTACTTAAAACTGTAGTTACAACCATTTCACTGCGCTTACAGGGGCTTATAAGTGGGTAACAAGTACAGTTATGATAGTTTAAGAAGTACCATGAACCTCCAAGTAATCCCTACTAAGGATGGTTAGTATAAGAGGGGACATCCCAATCCTCGAACCCCAAAGCCTTTCACTCTGCGGCCCGGGCTTCCGAGCGTATAAAGTTTAGGGCTCAGGGCTTAGGGTTTAGAGTTTAGGGTTTTGGGTTTATTCCTACACTGCCATATTCAGCCCTAAAACCCGAAAAAAGCAAACCTGATACTCCAAAAACCCTACAGACCTAAAACGCTTAAACAAGAAAACTGTATCAACAAAAACCCAAACGAACCTCAAAAAAAAAAAGGCACACGAAAACCCCAAACCCCAAAACCCTGAACAAAACATTCTCAAACACCTTGAGAAACCCTAAGACAGAGACTTAACATTGGGGGTCGGCATAATTACTAGTAGTATTCCCCTTATGATCCCCATCATATTCCCTCAAGACCTGTGCTAATTATCAAGGCCCCCATAACCTTGGTAGCCCAGTATACAACCCCAAAACCCTAAACCCTAAACCTTATTTCAAGCGTTGGCCTGTTTAACTGTCAGCCACATATCCGGGGGAGTGAGAGGGAAAAGGGCATGTAGCAAATCACGTCGCAAATCGTGTAAAGGATAAGGGGCATGTAGCAAATCTCGCAAATCCTGTAAATGGAAAAGGGCATGTAGCAAATCACGTCGCAAATCCTGTAATTAAATGGAACCTGTGAGTTCATTGGCCCGAAACGAGGCAATGGCCTCTTTGGTGTGTGTGTCAGTGGCAATCATTGGGCCGAAACGAGGCAATGGCCTCTTTGGTATGTCAGTGGCAATCATTGGGCCGAAATGAAGCAATGGCCTCTTTTGTGTGTCAGTGGCAATCATTGGGCCGAAACGAGGCAATGGCCTCTTTGGTATGTCAGTGGCAATCATTGGGCCGAAATGAGGCAATGGCCTCTTTTGTGTGTCAGTGGCAATCATTGGGCCGAAACGAGGCAATGGCCTCTTTGGCGTGTCAGTGGCAATCCTTAGGCCGAAACGAGGCAATAGCCTCTTTGGTGTGTCAGTGGCAATCCAAAATGGAGAGGCAGGATAGACCTATAGCCATAGACAAAAGAACCTGGATCCCCTCTGTCCCCGGAGCCACAAAAACCCTCCCCGGCGCACTTTCGTGAGCCAAAAGTGCGCCGGAGAGGGTTTCCGTCATCCCGAAAGGAGAGGCAGGATAGGCCTATAGCCTATATAAGCTATAGACTTATAGACCTTGGAACTCCTTCAGAGACTCTTTGTCCCCTGAGGAAAATGTCCACGTTGTGAATAATGTCATTTTATGATTTATGAAGAATAGAATACTATGACAGTAAAAACACAATACAGCAATATAACAATATAGCAATATAACAAAATAACAAGATACCAATACAACAAGGTAACAATATAGCAATATAACAATGAAATATGTACATATCTATATATATATATATATATATATATCACAAAATAACAGCAAAACAAATATGAAAAATATATAAAAAAACAACAGAAGATAATAAGAGAAAAAAAACAACCTTGTTTTCATATGCTCCAGAACAAACTAGAACAGTTCCAGGGCGTACGTTTTTGGGGCAAAAACCCGAAACAAAGCGGAACTGTTCCGGAACTGTTCTGGAACTGTTCCGGGGCCTGGTTTTCTGCTCCGGAACAGTCCAGGGCATGTTGTTTTGCACACTTTTTGACGGTACCCGGAACAGACTAGAACTGTTCCAGGGCCTCCTCTTTCATGGCCTCTGAAATGAATACAACCTGATAATAAAATACCTTCCAGTAAGTCCCCCCGAGTCCACTCCCAGAATAAACAATATAGCCCTCAAGGCCCAAACCAAAGCTTCTAAACCCTAAGCAGCCCCAAACCAGCTAAACTTCTAAACAACCCTAATCTTCAAAACCCTAAAGCCAAACCCTAAAACACCCAGCCTAAACCCTAAACTAAACCGGCTTGGTTTAGGGGAGACTGCAGACCATGGGGGGGTGGGATACCTGGGGGGGGGGGGGGGCCGAACGCACAGCGCACAACCATATATAGGGGTGGCCAAAAAGTTGAAAGACTACCTTGTCTAGGGTTTTGTAGTTGTTTTCAGCTTTCTTGTTTTTTTGTAAAAGCATTTTTCCGCTAGCAACAATAGACAAGAGGTGAAACATCGTCACTAAAACGACTAAGTAGTTTAAGAAATTTTCGCCCGGCTTTGGTCACTAAAACGACTAACTTCTTTAGGAAATGTGTCGCCCGGCTTTGGTCACTAAAGCGACTAACTACTTTGGGACATGTGACGCCCGGTTTTGGTCACCAAAACGACTAACTACTTTAGGACATGTGTCGCCCGGTTTTGGTCACCAAAACGACGAACTAGTTTAGGAAATGTGTCGCCCGGCTTTGGTCTCAAAACTACTAACTAATTTAGGAAAAAAAAGTGTCGCCCGGCTTTAGTCACTAACACGACACTAACTACTTTAGGAAATGTGTCGCCCGGCTTTGGCCACTAAAACGATTAACTACTTTAGGAATTGTGTCGCCCGGTTTTGGCCACTAAAACGACTAACTACTTTAGGAAATGTGTCGCCCGGCTTTGGCCACAGAAACGACTAACTAGTTTAGGAAATGTGTCGCCCGGTTTTGGCCACTAAAACAACTAACTACTGTAGGAAATGTGTCGCCCGGCTCTGGTCACCAAAACGACACTAACTACTTTAGGAAATGTGTTGCCCGGCCTCAATGTCCAAAACACATATTTGAGCAAAAGGGGCCAAAGCTGAAAGAGGCCACCCGCCACAACTGGGCTTTCGCCCAAAGTCATGTAGCTAAACAGGCCACCCCCCTTGAATGTCCAAAACATGTACTTGAACAAAAGGGGCCAAAACTGAAAGAGGCCACCCGCCACAGCTGGGTTTTGCCCAAAGCCCTGTAACTAAAGAGGCCAGCCCTCTTCAATGTCCATGTCAAAAACCACATATTTACGGAATCTCTTCCCAAATCTCTTCCCAAATCTGTTACTGTTACGGGCCATTTTGACAGTCACCCCTTCATAAAGAGGCCAGGGGGGTGGTCTCTTTAGCTACAGGAATGTGGGCGAAAGCCCAGCTTATGCGCTTGGGGGGGTGGTTGTGGCAGGTGGCCTCTTTCAGCTTTGGCCGGGTTCCTAAACCCTGAACCCTGAAAATATTTACGGAATCTCTTCCCAAATCTGTTTCTGTCACGGGCCTGCGGGGGTCCCAATTTCCTGAACCCTAAAAATATTTACGGAATCTCTTCCCAAATCTGTTTCTATTACGGGCCATTTTAACAGTTACCCCTTCATAAAGAGGCCATTGCCTGAAATAACCTAAACCCTAAACCCTATATTAGAATAAGGGCACCCTTTTTCAGGGTCGAACCAGGACCCCGAAAAAAAGTAAAGGGTACCACTGGGCTACCAAGTATAGGCTTCAGAGCTTAGAGGGTTTATGGTTTAGGGTTTGGGGGTCTACGGTTTAGGGTTTAGGGTTTAGGGTTTGGGGTTTAGGGTTTAGGGCTCCCCCCTCCTTAAGCCTTTGAGCCGAGGGCTTACAAGTATTCGGCCGGTGCGCTGGAGCTCCTGGCCCACGAGTTGGAATCCCTGCATGGATGCCTGGGAAGCAGCTTCGGGGTTCTGGGTTTGGGTTTAGGGTTTAGGGCCAGGGTTTAGGGTGTGGAGCTGAGGATTTGGGGTTTAGGTGTTAGGGTTTGGGGTGTAGGGTTCAGGGTGTAGAGGGTTTTGGGCCGCATGCTTTGAGGGCTGGGTGGGTTTAGGGTTTAGGGTTTAGGGTTTAGGGTTTAGGGTTTAGGGTTTAGGGTTTAGGGTTTAGGGTTTAGGGTTTAGGGTTTAGGGTTTAGGGTTTAGGGTTTAGGACTTGGATCGATTCTTCGCGTTTTTGATGTATCTGAGTCTTAGGTTGGCCCATTTAAAATCACATTCACGAATACTCCGAAGCCCAGTAAGGGCCAGTATCAAGTACCCAAAGGGCCTACCCAGGAAATAGATGGACATGTTTTCAGATAGTTATTGCTACACTTTCTCTTCGTCATGACAGATTTTGCTCTGGCTAGTACCAGGCTCATGTGTCTGTTTTGTTGTTTTTTGTCAGAATTTCAGGCATGGGCGAGGATCAACGGGAAGAGCCCTGAAGACGAACGCAGCCTGCACACAAGGCCATCGTATTCTCACATACGTTCTGAGGGGGGAGTAGCGTGAAGGGCTGGAGGCGGGGCCTGTCTGCTGACACGCTGCACCCTCAACCCTGAACCCTGAACCCAGTTTAGGGTTTAGGGTTTAGGGTTTCGGGTTTAGGGTTTAGATTTAGTGTTTCAGGGTTTTAGGCTTCGAGGGCTGAAAGGGGACTTGAGTGGGAAGGCTTTTGGGGCTCATGCTCTTTTTTCGCAGGCTCATGGTTTTGGGTTTAGGGTTTATCCTAAACCCTTAACCCTGTATCAACCCTAAACCCTAAACCCTAAACCCTAGACCCTGAACCCTGAACCCTGAACCCTAAACCCTAACCCTAAACTCTAAACCCTAAACCCTATACCCTAAACCCTGAACCCTGAACCCTATATAAACCCTAAACCCTACACCCTAAACCCCAGACAGGCGAGCGTCCATGGCATCTTGCGCGTCGTTGTGGTTCTTGAAGGTAATCCAACACTCGCCAGTTCCCATCCTCCAGTCAGGAAGGTTTAGGGCTTAGGGTTTAGGGTTTAGGGTTTAGGGTTTTAGGGTTTAGGGTTTAGGGTCTAGGGTCTAGGGTCTAGGGTCTAGGGTTTAGGGTTTAGGGTTTAGGGTTTAGGGTTTAGGGTTTAGGGTTTAGGGTTTAGGGTTTAGGGTTTAGGGTTTAGGGTTTAGGGTTTAGGGTTTAGGGTTTAGGGTTTAGGGTTTAGGGCTTGGGCTTTTTGGGGTTCGGAGTTTAAGAATTGGGGTTTGAGGGCTTAGGATCTCGGTTCTAGGGTTTAGGGTTCAGGGCTTAAGCGGGCAGGATGAAGGGTGGGGATGTTTCCTCCTAGGAGGTCGTCCTGCAAGGACTCCACTTCTTGTCATGTCGCGTGGATGGGCATCGTTGGTGTGGGTTTAGGGTTTAGGGTTTAGGGTTTAGGGTTTAGGGTTTAGGGTTTAGGGTTTAGGGTTTAGGGTTTAGGGTTTAGGGTTTAGGGTTTAGGGTTGACCCCTATAGCGCCGAACTCCCTGAAACGCTGCGAAGGTGTCAGGAAGTCTTCGAACTCTCCGAAGGGTTTGAAGATGCCGCGCATGTCGTCTTCCCGCACCACGGGGCGGAGGTTCTTGATGTGGAGCCTCGCTACTTTCCCAGCAAGGGTGTTAGGGTGTCAGGGTTTTGGGGTTTAGGGTTTTTGGGGTTTAGGGTGTTGGGGTTTAGGGTTTAGGGTTTTGGGTTTTAGGGGGTCGCAGGCGCGCAAAAAACCTGGACACGAACTGCTGCGAACATGGCTTTGGCGGGGGTTTTGAGCATTAAAGCACGGGAACTACAAAGGCTGGCTGCCGGCCAGGGAAAATAGGACAGCAGCAGGACTCTGCTGAAAACCTCGTAGGAAGATCCAGAATCCAAAGCTGCGAAAAACTGAAATGGGCGAACTACAAGAACGCGCTACTTCGTCTTCAGGAAATGGCAGCCGGAGCCTGAATGAAATCCTCTGCCAGTGGCAGGTACCTCCAAACAAAAGGGGTATTGAAAGAGTTTGGAATGCTTGGCTGTAAGTTAAGTGTTTGGGGCTGGTTGTGTTGACCCTTACAGCTTGTTGTAGAAAGAGGCTCGCAGAATACAAGAACACTGTAAATAAGAGCGTCTTGCTTTGCACGTTCATCTGTTTTGTTGTCGTTCTTTCCCCGCTTTAGGGTTTAGGATTTACGGTTTAGAGTTGTTTAGGATATAGGGTTTAGGGTTCGGGGTTTAGGGGCATTCGCCCCTAAAACCACACCCCTAAACCCTAAACGCTTGAACCCCCAAGCCGCGCCGATCCAGGCCATGGGGCTTCCTCTTGTCCGGCTGCGCGTCCGCGGACTTCGTGAGCCTCAGTCCCGCCCGGGCGCCGGGGTTTAGGGTTTAGGGTTTAGGGTTTAGGGATAGAGGTTATAGGGTTATAGGTTATAAGGTATAGGGCTTGAGCCCTAAACCCTGAGCCCCAAAAACCCTACCTTAACCCTAAACCCTGTAAACCCTAATTACAGCTGAAGACATCAAACCTAAACCCGTTCTTTGGCTTCTTGCGGGGTTTGGGAAAACCTAAATAACAAACAACCAGAGTAAGCCCCAAACCCTGTCTTTACCTCAACCCTAACTAAAGTCAGTTCTATTTTTGATTTGGGGGGTTGCTTTTCTACCCTGAACCCTAAACCCTAAACCCTAAAGTCTGGGGTGTATGAAGGGACCGTGGCCTAACCAAAAAAATGTGCCGCTGGAGATGTCCTGGTAGCCCGCTGAGGACTTGCTGCGTGAACTGCTGCCGCGTCAACGTCCTCTTGGGGCCTGGTGGCTATCTAAACCCTAAACCCTAAACCCTAAACCCTCAACCCTAAACCCTTCAGGGTTTAGGGCTTAGGGCTGGTGGCTTAGACTAGAAGCTTTGGGACAAATCGTGGTTGAAGAGTTGCTTGAGGGTTTAGGGCTTTGGGTGTTTAGGGCTTGCAGGGGTTTGAGGGCTTGGCGAGGGCCAGGCCACGCCCACCCCGGCCCACCCCCCCCCCCCCCCCCCCTTGCCCCGCACTTTCGACCCGAAACCCTAAACCCTAAAAGTACCCTAAACTCCCCCCCCACCAACCCCCGCCCCCCTGCCCCGCACTTTAGATGCCCCCCCCCGCCCCCACCCTAAACCCTAAACCCTAAACCCTAAACCCCCGGGCGCCTGGATCCTTCTTCGGAACTTGGGTGTCTGCCCTCTTGGTGGTGACAGGCGTGCCTAAGATCCTGAGCGCTGGACGAAAGGGTTTAGGGTTTAGGGTTTAGGGTTTAGGGTTTAGGGTTTAGGGTTTAGGGTTTAGGGTTTAGGGTTTAGGGTTTAGGGTTTAGGGGAGTTTCGCCCACTTGGGGTTTAGGGTTCCAAACAAGGTCACCAGTAGGTTCGCCATGGTGCAATCCTTACTCCGGGCACCTTGCGGCCCTACTTAGAAGTACCCATGAACCTGCAAGTAGGGTGCAGGGATGCTCGCGGCTTGGAGTCGGGCGGTTGAGTGGCCTACCTTCCTGAACCCATGCACTCTTCAAAGACATATCTTCTAAACCCTAAACCCTAAACCCTAAACCCTAAACCCTAAACCCTAAACCCTAAACCCTAAACCCTAAACCCTAAACCCTAAACCCTAAACCCTAAACCCTAAACCCTAAACCCTAAACCCTTCCCTCTCTTTGTGTAGATTCATTGGATTCTAGGTATTTCAAGCCTCCCGGAATGAGGGACACACGAAGAGTGAAGATAGCTCAGGGCTTAAGGTAGGAGATCTAAGTCCTAAAACCTCCGCAGTGGACCCTATGATATATGAGCTTACTATATGCCTAAGAGCAAAAATGGTCTTCCTGATGAGGGCAATATAGGGAGTGTTATCTTTCATCTTGGCAGGGTTCTTTCGCAAATTGGTAGCCCTAAAACCCTCAACCAGAAACCCTAAACCCTAATTTTTTGGACTTGTTTAAAGCAAAAAAAGGTAGCTGGGGGGTTGGAGCAGTGCCGAACGGAAAGGGCCTGGGACCGTCCCCTTCAACCCCCAAGGGTTTACTTGGAGGCTCATGGTACTTCTAACCCAGCAATAACTGTACTTATCACCCACTTATTCGCCCCTTAAGCGCCTTAACATGGTTAGAATTGGGATACGTATTATAAGTACAGTTATAATTGGGTGAATAAGTACCATGAACCTCCAAGTAAGGTTATGGGTTTAAGGGTTTAATTCAGGGTTTAAGGGTTTAAGGGCTTAAGGGTGTAAGGGTTTAAGGGTTTACTGTTTGAGGGTTTAGGGGGTAGATACATCTACACCCAAAAAACCAGACTTCAAGCTCCTAAGGCACACATCGGCAAACCCTACACTCGAAGCAAGAAGCCTTGACGGAGTTCTGAAGCCCTCAGCCCTAAACCCTAAAACGTGGACCCCAAGCCCTAGGCCCTACAGTTGCCTGAAAACATTAAAAAAAACAACAAAAATAATATGTTTAAATAAATAAGATTTATATAAACAGTAAAAAAACAACAAAACAATTATTTTTCAAAAAACAGCGCAAGCCCCAGGAGCTCGTTGAAAGGAGGTGTCAGGGCCACCGCCCGAGCGACCGGATCCTCCTGGGAGTACTCGATGATCGCCTTGATTCCAAGCAAGCCAAACCAGAAGTTGAAACCAGCATCCTAAAGCCTAAACCCTAAACCCTATATGGTTCCAGAGGTTCTGGGGGGGGGGGGGGGGGGGGGGGGTGGCTCTCTGGAGTTCAGGGCTTATTCCTTGTTCTCGAACGTTGTGGGTTGTGGGTTAAGGATGAAGGTCATTTTGCCCTAGTCAGAGGCGTAGCGTTTAGGGTTTAGGGTTTAGGGTTTAGGGTTTAGGGTTTAGGGTTTAGGGTTTAGGGTTTAGGGTTTAGGGTTTAGGGTTGAGGGTTTAGGGTTTAGGGTTTAGGGCTTAGGGCTTTCAGATCAGCGGCCACACCAGTGGGCTCATTCTTGCGATTGTAAATCATCTGGAGGTCTTCGATGAAGCCGCACTTGCTGTAGTGCTTGAAGAGTATTTTCCTTCCCCCACTTGGAGGTTCATTTTAAGGTTTAGGGTTTAGGGTTTAGGGTTCAGGGTTGAGGGCTAATTTCCTTCCCTCACTTGGAGGTTCATTGGGTACTTAGAACCCCAACTATGGGGTTATGGGGTCAGGTTTAGGGTTTCGGGGTATAAGCTTGAAGAGTACCCCCCCCCTCATGCAACACGACCCAGCACCAGTTGAACTTTGAGGGATTAGGAGGCAAGCGAACCAGGTTGGTAATTGGAGTTGCGGTTTATGGCTTAGGATTTGGGGCCGCTAGCCTTAAGTCTTCGACTGTCACATAGCCGAGCTTCTCATCTGCACCGAATGGGATGCCGGTCACGACGATCGTGCGATCAACTAAGCCCACTTTGTCGGTGAAGCCACCCGTCTGAGGCAGGACCCTGCCGCCCATGCCTTATTTTCATGCTGCTGGAAACAACAATCCATGGATGATCGAAAACAAAACTTATGCTTTTGATGAAGCCATAAAAACCCTAAACTCCCCCTAAACCCTAAACCTTAAACCTAAACCCTAAACCCTAAACCCCAAACCCTGAACCCCAAACCCCAGCCAAGCGCCAAGCTGCGCAGCGATCCGCGCCTCGGGGGCGACCTGGAGCGTTCTGAGCTCGAGGAGTCCCCACCTTGCCGCCCTCGCCGCTTTCGCTTGTGCTGCCTTCTTTTGACCTCAGACAAAGGAAAGGGTTTAGGGTTTAGGGTTTAGGGCTTAGGGCTTAGGGTTCAGGGTTCAGGGTTCAGGGTTCAGGGTTCAGGGTTTAGGGTTTAGGGTTTAGGGTTTACGGTTTAGGGTGGAGGGTTGCGGGTTGAGGGTTTAGGGTTCAGGGTTCAGGGTTTAGGGCTACCACTTGCTTAAGAAACCCCCCCTAACTGTTAAACAAGAATAAATAACCCCTATACTGCCCGAGTAAGGAAGAATATGGTTTCTTTGTTTGTATTCTTCTTCTTATTGTTTTTAGATATACATATATATATATATATTATGTATTGTTTTTTTGGGGGGTTCTTACTAAAAAAGGACCTCTAATTGTAGCTCCTTCTTGAGGATACCTAAGCCGAGCTTCTCAGACCATACTATATAGCAATAAGGAGGCACCTAAACAAGAAGCTATACTTAGAGGACCTTTGAGGTCCAGATAAGGCTCAGGGTTTCAACACATGGGGGCCTCTATGTGGACAATGCGGGAAGTACTGTTGAAGCCAGGATACACCCTTTTAAGGCACGACTGAATCCCTAAACCCTAAACCCCAGTCAAACCCTAAACCCTAAACCCTGAACCCTAAACCCCTGAGCCCCAAAGCCTAAACCCTAAACCCCAATCAAACCCTAAACCCTAAACCCTACACCCTACACCCTAAACGGTTTGGAGTTTTGGGGCCTCTCGGTGGCCGCTGGAAGTTGGGACCCTTGGAATTCTGAGCATCGGGCTTCGGGGCAAAGAGCCCATTGCCCCTTGCATAAGGAGCATGCCTCAAATTAATGTCAGGAACCCTGTAAAACAAAAGGCAAGTATTCCTTAATTCGGGGGTAGCATCGGGCTCTTTTGGCAACCCTTATCCTGAAACCCTAAACCCTAAACCCTAAACCCTAAACCCTAAACGACAATGGTAGTTGCTAGGCCTGAAACCACTGGAAGGCCGAGCAGCCGTCCGGACACTCTGCGCGAAGAGCCTGTCGAGCTCGAAGAAGGAGATGTCGGTCAAGTCAAACACGCTCCCCGTCATGGCTTTATGGCGTTGTACAGGGGGGGGGGGGTGTACGAAAAGAAGAGGGCCCCTAAACCCTAAACCCTAAACCCAAATAGTATGATTCCCCTGTAATAAGGACCCCAACAAGGTATCCTAACATCGTACACCCACAAATTGGCTGGATGTCCCGTGCGCGCAAGTGCATGAGCCAAGGGTCAAATGCAGGTTAATGTTAAAAAAGACAGCTCTTGGCCGAGGGTTCGATTGGTAATGAGAACTGCGTGGCAACCCTAAACCCTAAACCCTAAACTCTAAACCCTAAACCCTAAACCCCCTACATGAGACTCACTTTGCTAAGTCAAAGGTTCTTCTGAGCCAACGCAGCGATGTGCTCCAACGATGTGCTCTGAACAGCCCTAAACCCTCAGCCTTTGCATTTTTGCCCTAAACTCTGAACCCTAAACCCTAAACCCTAAACCCTAAAAGCCCCCCGTTGTAAGGATAGTTACATGGTCCTTTGATATGGGCACTTACATGGGGGACCTAAACCCTAAAAACCCTAAAAACCCAAAAAACCCTAAAAACCCTAAAAACCCTAAACCCTAAACCCTGAACCCTGAACCCTGAACCCTAAACCCTATCAAACCAAGGGCTCATACTTCAGAACCCGTTAAAGCAGGGTAAGGGACCATATTAAGGGACCCATGTAACTACCCTTACAAAAACCGGGCTTCGTAAAGCTTAGGGCTTGCTAGGGCTTAAGGTTTGGGAACTAGGTCCCACTGCGCAAAAGTTCTGGTCCCGCAAACCCTAAACCCTAAACCCTAAACCCCAAACCCTAAACCCTAAACCCTAAACCCTATGGTCCTTCTGTGAGAGACCCCGTCTTGGGCTTTGGATGGGTAATGAGGGGATCGTTGCGAAACCCCGACGCGCCCAAATCCTAAGACCTTGAACGCCAAACCCCCAAAAATCTTGGCCTCAAGCCTGAAACCCTGATTCCTGAACCCTAAACCCTAAACCCTAAAGCCTAAACCCTGAACCCTGAAACCCTGAGCCCGAAGCTCGAACGCCGGGCACCCTAAAATGCAGTGAGGGCGCCTGCCGTACCAGCATTCTCATCATTCTCCTCCTCGCCTGCAGCCAAAAACCCCAAGCCCTAAACCCTAAACCCTGGACTCTCGCCGCCTGGCCCCCCAACCCCTGATTAGGGTTTAAGGTTTTGGTGTAGGGTTTAAGGCTTCTGCAGCCTAAACGATCCACCACGAACCCCAAGCAATAAACACCAACAACCCCCCTAGGCCCAAAACGGGCCCGAAAGGCCTTCTATTGCATGGCCGTTGAGCACAACACGAATCCCGAGAGCCTAAACCGATAGGGTTTGGGGTTTTGGGGTTTTGGGGTTTTGGGGTTTTGGGGGTGTTGGGGTTTTGGGGTTTTGGCCTCTTAAAAACCCCCTAAAAACCTTATGAAATCCAAGGGCCCATACTTCAAAGCCCTTTAAAGAAGGCAAGGGGCCATGTGCAGGACCCATGAAACTACCCTTAGATTGGTTTAGGGTTTAGGGTTCAGGGTTTAGGGTCCAGGGTTTAGGGTTTAGGGTTTAGGATTTAGGGTTTAGGGTTTAGGGTTTAGGGTTGGAGGGGCCCCCTTACTATACTAACTGTAGTTAAGGGACTTATTAACCTAATTAGGATCCTTATAACCCAATTTAGGGCTCTCATAACTCTTGTAGGGTTAGGGGATGTTCGTAGGGTTTACTTTAGGGTTTACTTAGGGGGCTCGGGTTTAGGGAAGGAAGTGTCAAACCAGGAACAAGAAGCCCTATATAAACCCTGAACCCTAAATGACCCTCAACCCCCGAAACTCTACCAGCCCTAAGCCCAAACAAACGCCTCTAGATCCTCGCAAGCGAAACAGAAACCCCACCTCCCCTGAGCGGTTTTGGGTTCAGGGTTTTAGGGTGGCCGGGGGCGGGGTGGGGGTGGGGGGCGGCGGGGGGGGGGGGCGGAGGCGGATCGGCGGGGGGGGGGGGGCGTGGGCGGGGGCGGGGGGCGGGCGGGGGGGTGGGGAGCGGCGGGAGGGCCCGGGGGGGATTAACGAATACCATTGATGAGGCTTTCATGGGTAGGGATGTGCAGGTACACAAAGACACAGGCACAGACGACTAGCAATGAAATCCGGTTCCCCTCCCCCCGCCCCAAGAAGGAACCAACCCTGAAAATCTACCCAGTCTTTCAAGGATAGCTCCCAATTGGAGTGAGGAGCTCACTCTAAGTAGCCCATTGTTACCACTATACTCCCCTTAGAACCTTACAAAAGATAATGTCTTTAATATCCTCTTGGGTTTTATATGAACAAGAATAGAAAAAACCCCAAGGGGAATTTAGACCATGCGAAGTCTCAGTCCCCCCCACATCACACATTTGCGATACCATACGAAACCCAAGGGCCAAACCCTAAACCCTAAACCCTCAACCCTAAACCCTAAACCTTAAACCCTAAACCCCATTCGACTTTCGGGTTTGGGGAAGCGGGCCTTCTTCCGCGCCCCCTGCAAGGGCACAGAAGTCGGAGAGCCAGGAGAGGAGGTGCCTGGTGGGTAGGGAGCCCATGTCCATGAACCCACATTTAGGGTTTGGGGTTTCGGGTTTAGGGTTTCGGGTTTAGGGTTTTGGGATTGGGGTCGTTAGATGCCTAAAGCTTCTGCCCAAAACGCCTTAGAGCCCTACCCCATAAACCCACATTAGGGTTTAGGGTGTAGGGTACACACGGACCTGTAGACCCGAAAGGTCAGAGATGCGGGCGGGGAGGGGAGGGGGGAGGGGAGGGGGGAGGGGAGGGGAGGGGAGGTCTGAGTTCAGGGACTGTGCCCTTGTAACCCCTGTACATGTCGAAAGGTTTTAGGGTTTAGGGTTTAGGGTTAGGAAGGACGCAGATGCCCTTTGAGCCAGTCACCCTACCATAATGCCAAGCGATTCGCCTGCACGCCTGCGAAAGAGCTCCCTGACACTGAACTTGTGACAGGCTGCAAGGTGCAGCAATTGGAGAGGAGGGGCGAGGGCTCATAATTTAGGGTTTAGATCTTAGGGCTTAGCGAGTATTTGACGTTTCGGGTTTCAGGATCTCACCCCAAACCAGAAACCCTAACCACAGCTGCGGTACATAGGCTTTCTTGCATTAGGGCTTGGTCTGTTGCAGCTTGTGCAGAATATGGAGCAGTTCCAGAAACAAGAGGGTCTAGGGTTTTCACCTCACCTGACATACTAAACATTGACTCTCTAAAACCCGACACCCAAAACTAAGAAAGCCCTGAACCCCCCCAAGGCCGAATGAAAGCAACAAAAACTTGCGGTTCACTTGAAACGTGCACGCCTGATGGCAGAAATGCTGTCCAAGCCCTAGAAGCCCTAAACCCTAAACCCTAAACCCTAAGCCACTAAGCCCTAAACCCTATGGCCCCCCAACACCTTCAATCTGCTCAAGCCGCTAAGCTTCCCAACTGCATCATTCTGAAAAGACAGATGGGGAGGTCCTAAACCCTAAACCCTAAACCCTAAACCCTAAACCCTAAACCCTAAACCCTAAACCCTAAACCCTAAACCCCAACTCTTCTAACTATAGAAAGGAACTTACAACCCAATTAAGGCCCTTACGACTTTTGACTTGGCATGTTCCCCCTTATACTGGCAGTCCTTAAGGGGGATGATCTGGGATGATAGTACACCCTTATACTCCCTATTAAGGACTGCACGGAACATCCCAACTTACCACGCCTCCCTCCTAGTAGGGTTTAAGATTCAGGGCGGGCGGCATGGCAAACACGGCAGAGGCGAAAGGGGCCGAAAGTAGGGGGCCAGCACGGCGCACAAACCCTAAACCCTAACAACCGCCCCACCCCCCACCAAAAAAAAAAAGGTGCAAGAAAAGCTGGACGCGAGCCCTTCGTAATTTCAACGAAGCTCTGTGAACAGATGTAGGGCTTGGGGTTTAGGAGTAGGAGCCGGGTTAGGGATTAGGGTTCGGGTTTAAGGTTTACGGTTTACGGTTTAGGGTTTAGGGCTAAGGTTTAGGGTTTAGGGTTTAGGGCTTAGGGCTTAGGGCTTAGGGCTTCGGGGTTTAGGGCTTAGGGAGGCGGAGGCCTCTTCCTGCCCAAGGGCCAAGCTCTCGATACGGTGAAGACCTGCAGGCTCATGCCTCGACCCTTATCCCTCGTCTTCAACAGTGAGGAAGTTTGGTTTAGGGTTTAGGGTTTAGGGTTTAGGGTTTAGGGTTTAGGGTTTAGGGTTTAGGGTTTAGGGTTTAGGGTTTAGGGTTTAGGGTTTAGGGGTTAGGGTTTAGGGTTTAGGGTTTAGGGTTTAGGGTTTAGGGTTTAGGGTTTAGAGTTTAGGGGTTGCGGGTCGGAGTTTAGGTCTTATGGTTTTTGGGTGGTTTAGGGCCCAATAAGGGCACCAACCTTCCCCCCAAACTCCCCCCCGCCCCCATCAACGGCCAGCCCCTGCCCCCACCAGGCGGGTTGTCGAGGATGTCGAGACGGAGGTTTATAGCCACTTACCAACCCAAGTCTAGCTGTACATAGAACCCAATTGTAACCGTGTTAGGGCACTTCAGGGGCCAAATAAGTGGGTTCTACGTACAGTTATACCTGGGATATGCGTACCATGAACCTCCAAGTACATCCCCGAACCTAGCACGAAAGTCTCAGGACCTGTGTCCTAAACTACACTCCCCCTAGAACCATTCAAGCCAAAAGCTTTTCTATCCTTCCGGGCTTTATATGATACCTTACAGGGTTTACGGTTTTAGGGTTTAGGGTTTAGGCTTTAGGTGGAAACCAGACGGACACCATGGTAAACCTTTTGGGCAGCTGTGGCTTGTCTCAAAGGCAAACCCTATAAACCCTAAACCCTAAACCCTAAACCCTATAAACCCTAAACCCTAAACCCTAAACCACCCGAGGGCCCGACAAGAGCGGCGCGGTCGGCAAAGAACTGAAGAAGCCTAGCGCGCTGTTCGGGGTCTCTCGGAGGTCATGG